GCAAACCATCCTAGTATAGCCACATCCTACAACAACATCGGCTCGGTGTATGACAGTATGGGTGATTATCCAAAATCACTCGAATACTATGAGAAATCTCTTTCGATTCGACAATATTCACTTCCTGCAAACCATCCTGATTTAGCCACATCCTACAATAACATCGGCTCGGTATATAAGAATATGGGTGATTATCGAAAAGCACTCGAATGCTATGAGAAAGCTCTTTCAATTCGACAACAATCATTTCCCGCAAACCATCCTGATTTAGCCACATCCTACAACAACATCGGCTCGGTATATAAGAATATGGGTGATTATCCAAAAGCACTCGAATGCTATGAGAAAGCTCTTTCGATTCAACAACAATCACTTCCTGCAAACCATCCTGTTTTAGCCACATCCTACAACAACATCGGCTTGGTATATAAGAATATGGGTGATTATCGAAAAGCACTCGAATGCTATGAGAAAGCTCTTTCGATTCAACAACAATCACTTCCTGCAAACCATCCTGATTTGGCCACATCGTACAACAACATCGGCTTGGTGTATGACAGTATAGGAGATTTTCCAAAAGCTCACTTCTATTGTGAACGCGCTGTTCAAATTGCTAAGTATTCGATGTCACCAAATCATCCACACCTTTTAACATTCGAAAGAAATCTGAAATGCGTTACAAATGGACTGCAGCACTTTTCTTTTCGTGCTACAAAATAAAATCATCCCTTATCTTAAAATCACATGTCATCGTATAACTTTTCAGAGAAGCATTCTATCGATGTCTTTCTATTAGAATGCGCGGAGACTGTTTCCAAGAGAGAAGTAACGATAAGTTGACACATTGAGTGTCTTTAGATAATGGACATTGCTAGTATGAATTATGTTACAAAGGGTAAATCTTATGATTGAAGTCGGCGACGTTTGATAAATCGTATCTGAAGTTAATGTGGAAGCCGTTGAGGCCGTTCTATAGAGATAAATTTGTTTAAATTTTTATAAGTACTCTTGATATTGAAAGAAATGAGCTCTTGGAAAGGTGAGGTCGATATGCTTGCCTATGTGAATTCTACTGAAGGGTGGAAAAGCGAAAGTTCAGACTTCAAATACTAATTGAGGTGGATGAAGTCTTGCTTTGCCTCTTATGATTGTCAATGACTCGACCCTGAATGGAAAAGGGTTTCTTATTTCAGATGCGTTTTAATGCATTAACTATTGAAAACACGCCTAAACGTGTTAGAACGCGTTTGTTTTGTATTTCAGAGTTAAGTAGCTTGTATTGCTCTACTTTTAAAAAAATTTTTAATATTATCGAAAATAACGATCATATAGCTCAATCGTGAGCAGTTATAAAACATTTCTTTGTTCTCTTTTCTGAAAGAAAGAGCCATAGCGTCAAAGGTACAGTCATGAAAGTACATAAAGTTTGTTTGTTTGCTTGCATAATCCAATCAGATTGCAGTATATTATAAATCAAAGATCGACCACTGATGACGTAATCCAGCTCGAAGATCCCGAATCCTATGTTAATTTTCGCAAATACTAATTAGTTAATTAGCTAACGATTAGTTCTTGTATTGCCGAATAAGGGTTGATCGAAAGGGTCATCTGGATGCAAGATCTCGAATCTATTGTTAGATTTTCAATAAAAGTATTCTATGCTGTGTTTTTAGACATAGGACGATTTTTTGCAAGGAAGTTTTTTTTAGGCGATAGTGTTTGAAGCGGCAATATGTAGAACAAAACGGAATAGCTGATTAACTTCGGATTGTTGGATATTCATACACATCAATACATTGATAACATCACAATTATGCAAACAGTTATATTACACAAATATTATCTTATGTTAACCATTCAAAACAATACTTCCTCTACCAAATGTTGTTCTCAACAGAAGTTAATCATCGATTCGCAAGAACATATCCGGCTTAAGGTGCCTGGTGATGAAAAGATGAATGGAACCTTTAGCAGAGGCCGGTATACCTATAATGTAAAGATCTTACGTTTTCGAATATGGATTGTTTTTCCAGAGCGGACTTCTTTGCAGATAACATCTTCACCTGAATAAAATGAAAATAGGAAAATACATAGAAACGGCTATAGCCGTAAGTGGCCGACCGGAGACAGGCCGACGAACGACTAGGCGGTTATTTGCATTGCTTCGAGGAGATAAAATAAGGGAAAGTAAATTGATTTTTTTATAAACAGTGTTCGTTTTGTTTACGACTTTGGACAAATAATTTGAAAGTAATCTGACATGAATGAAGCAAAAAATGAAAGAATGAGCATAAAAGTAACTTCAATTCGAAGTCAATTAGATTGAGATCTAAATGAGAGCGTTTATCTACTAGTTTTCTGGTACTTTCAGAAAAGGGTCAGCGAATCCAACGGATGAGCGCTACTTGTTTTCTACATGAATCTTTTCTAGTGCAGGACGGAAGGATTTATTTTAAAAGTATTGAAAGTCTGGAGTAAATTGTTCTGCGTCGAGGGATTTACAGATACGCAATGCAATGTCTAAGGACAATAAAGCAAATGAAAAATAAAGCTATGAATCTAGAAGCAGTTTTTCGTCTATTTTTGGCAAAATACCTGCAGGAAACGGTCGGAATCTAACTGAAAGAACTGGTGATCATCAACTATTCAACTATCTGTTTAACTATTCGAGTATTCAGCACCCTCTACATGGAAGAATATTTTAATGACAGATAATAAGCTTTGATTGTTATTTTCTAGGAGTTTTTCTATACGACTGGTTGGAGTTGTTGGTTCGTTTTAGTTTATTGGCATCTATTTCATGAATAACAACATTTGATTCTGGAGGAGTAGCGCTTGATGATGAGAGCTTCTGATTTTTCGATCTAGGCTCAACAGTGATAGGATTCGATGAAACAGGAATGGGCTCTACAACTGAAAATTACGATACTGATCACAAGTAGGAAGGCAAAAGATAGTTCGTACCTGTAACTGTCGGTCTAGATGGTGTTAGAAGAGAAATATCTGACACATGTATCATTGCAATGATGCTAGCTGGCAATGATCCTATGAAAAGAGTAAAGTCAATGAATTCTGTAGTACAAAAATGAGAAAATGTACCGATGATGGATCGGTTCGAGGGTGTATCTGGCGGCCGGCAACATGGACAGATTGTATCATATAAGACTTTGCATGTGCCAGATAGGAATTGTGTGATTTTATTTGACATCCATATGTTAAATTGATGAATACGACGAAACAGCCATGTTTTCTCGCACAATACACAACAAGCACCACATAAAGCAACTGAATGAACAATTGATTCAGGTAAACCTGTAATTTTACTTAAAGCCGACGTAATAAGTGACGAGCACGGTGCATTATAATGTGTAATCCATGCAAGTAGAAGAAAAATTACAATAATAAATGATATAATATAGACAGCCGATGCAAGAGTTGTGAGATCATCGACAAGTGATGATGGAAGTGGAATAGGCTCATTTTGAAAGAAATTTGTCGAACCATCGCTTGTTGAATTATCAGCTTGATCAACACCAAAGGATGAAACAGAACGTATCTTGCGAAAAAGATGTGCTTGATCAGAATTCTCTTGACAAAAAGATGAATATAACAAATAAGAAAACACTGAAGTCAGCATACATCGAATAGTTCACATTTTTGAAAATACATGGAAAACACAAATCTTTTCATTCGATAAAAAAAAAAGGAAAGAAGCGCTTTATCACATAATAACTTGATTCGAAAATCTCAAGATATAGAAGAATTCATGTGATAGGTTGAGTTTTCATTTATCGTCCTCGATGATTTTCGTCAAACGATTAGTAACCATTAGATCCGATTGCAATTTAGGCGGTCGATTGAAGATATTGAACGATAGCAAACAATTCCAACGGACACTTCAACTGTTTCAGCGATATCGAAAACATAACAATAAAACTCCGTCAAGTTCGGCAATCACACAAGTTCTGAAAGCATGTACCCATCTCAAAGATATTCGAAGTAGCAAAGCGATTAATGATCTTGTTTCATCACATACAAAAGATAATCAATACATAGTGGCATCGATCTTCACTATTTGATAGTAATGAGATAAATAATTCATCTATGTACGGTGAGATGATGAAAGGTATGTATGTTTTGTATCCGTGTGTGCTCTATTCGGCTTTTTTCAGGTTATATCGCAAGTAATCAAACAGATTGAATCTCCTGATGGCATATTTTGTTTAACGCCTGTGCTCATCTACGAACAAAAGAGACACTCGGTTTAACTCAAAATGTTAATAAAAATTTATCAGCATTTCTTTTTTCAAATGAATATGCGACCACTTCTTTGTTGAATGCGTTTCCAGGAGGATGGTTCCTGAAGCAGGGTTCCGTGAGTTTCCGACAAAATTCCTTAGGGAACTCGCCCCGAAAAAGACAGGAATCCGATGGAAAAATGCGGTAACCGTTTCTGGCTACTGGTTTTGACATGTTTATGTCGGTTCCTATCCATGCCAGGCAAATTCGGCCACCGGAACCGACCTTTTCCATGCTGGATTGTTCGACCTGAGGTGGACAAAGAAGGAAACTATTTCATCGAATGAAAAGTGAAGGCTTTAAAGCGGGTCTGATCGTTTGCCTATGTGTTATCAAAGCTTTGGTGTCCATTGTTGACCTTTCACTTATTGAACTAACAATTACCCAAATACATCAATCTATTCTTCTTGATAATCAGATTCGAAATGCCTTGATTGACATGTGGATGAGCTAGGAAATATGTTTTTTGTTTCATATTGTGCCAATCTCTTTTTGTAGAGTAGAACTGGATGTGTAAGACAAAGCAAAAGAGATTTTCGAAAGATCTTCTGAGCGAGACACATTTACATACACAGCAATGGGAATGTACTATTGAATTTATTGTTTACTGGAATTAAATACGACACAACATGTATTATATTAAATTAATTGTTACGGAATGAATGGAATGGGCATGAAAAGTTCTTGAACTTTTCTCTCGAATGCCACAACAGCTGATTCATGAAGTAACTTATATTTGCATATTGAATGCATGTTCACACTCTGGTCTTGTTGATGAAGCTCTCTCAATTATTCAAAAGATTCCAGTGAAAACAGCAGCAGTCTGGACAACTATGGTATGTTGACAAACATGATTGTAGTCGAAGAAAATGAGGTTCTGTACGAATGTGTGCATTCACGCGTCATAGATATGCACAGTAAAAAAGCGTCATCATCTGAGTCTGAGATGATTCCTCAGTGAACGACAACAGTGCGAATAGTATCAACACATTGATCTTGTTTATATTCATTTTATTTAGTAGCATTGTTATCAGGTGCAAGAAACGACAAGAACGCTCAGTTAGCACAGAATATCTATGATCGAATGAAAATATTGTTTCCAATGACAAAGAATTCCTTCACAGCAGCTGAAGTTCTTCTTGCAAATACTTATGCAAGTTCAAACACAGCTGACAATTTCTTCTTCGAAGCAATATGAACTGATTTGATTGTAGCCATTTCGTGCTCATGACAGATCTCCTCCTCGATCAGATGAAATTTATCGTGAAGTGCGAGAAAATGTCCGAGGAATTAGTTGCACACGGTCATGAATATGATTCGAATCGGATAATGCGACCAATGACTGAAGATGGAAGTGTCGAATCGATTCTCTGTGGTTACAGTGAACGGTTGTGCCATGGCATATAGAATTTTGTAGTCAATTCTCATGTGTAAAGAATTCAAATCCCGGAGAACTTGAGAATGTATGACAATTGTCGTATGTATTAATACGATATCTGGTTTAAGTGATTGATTTGCTGAATTTGTGTTTTAGATCGAGGAACGAAATTGATAGTTGTGAATCGAATCCATCACTTCCACAAAAAAGGTCAATGCTCATGTAACGATTATTTCTGCGAGCTTTTTTAATTCTTATTTGCGTTTTTGTTTGACGATTTAATATAATTATACAAAGTTAGAAAGAAAATCTTCAAAGATCTGAAGTGACTGCACTCTCAACCTCAAGATTTGCACAAAACTTTCACTTCGATAAAATAAAGGAGGAAGCATGTTATTGAAAAACTCATCAAAATCGGAAGAGGTCGCTGAAATGTAAAGCGTTTGACAACTTTTACAATTCTACGATCAATCTGTGTTTTCATCAGAATTTCGCTGATCCGAAATGTCAAATACTCATTTTCATTTTCTATCAGCGACCTCTTTTTTTCTGATCAAATCAGCCGTTGGTAGATACGAATAAGTTTTGCTCGGTCTTACTGGACATTGGACGTGGTATGAAGAAAAGGATGAGAAAAGAAAAAGATGAAGAAACAAATGTAACCATGACTTTTCTTCCGTTCTATTTTGGGAAATTTTCGTACTTTTCTCGGTTTCAGATCTTTGAATCAAAAACTGCAAAGCATTTTCCAATGACTACAACTACAACATCAGATCAACAATCAGAAATGACCGATGAAAATCTTGCTATCACATCCGATGAACAACTTTCGCAGATAATCGACTCAATTAATCTTTCAACTGCCTGTGAAGATTCAACAAATGATGATTCACAAGTTCAACTATCGACAGCAGCTACTCGAACGTCAGGGCAAACAGCTATTGGTGCTAAGCTCGTTAAAAAACTCGAAACACTAGGTGCATATATAAACTTCCATTGGTTGAAATACGAATTGTGCCATTTTTAGCTGCAACTTCAAAAGAAAACAGCGATAAAAGTTCATCACCGACAGCAACGGGCAACGATGCATCTTCATTGATAATGAATGATCCAGAATCACGTCGAAATATCACTAAACTTGCCAGTGAGTAAATAGATCTCTTTGATTTTCTGAGTTCGTTTCGATTTCTCGTTCATTAGAAAGTATTATGAAAGGTTTAACAGATTCAGATACAGAAAAAAATCTCTTGACATTGGCGACAAAAGTCGCTGAATTACAGGAGCAACAACGAACGTTACTGACGAAAAGTAATGAACTAGAAAAACGTACCACAACATACACACGTGAACGGGATCATATTTCACTTGAAAACAGTCGAATAATAGCTGCGAAAACGAAATTAGAAAGTCTCTGTCGTGAACTCCATAAGCATAATCAACAAATACGCGTAAGCAGCGCATCAAAGCAACTCTTTTTGCAATGATTAACTCTTTTACTTTTTCGCAGGAAGAAAGTGCACAACAGCAACGTGAAGATGAAGCAAAACGTCGCGAGTTAGCAACAAAATTCCAAGTAAATACTGAGCATTGAATTATACTTTGCGATTGATATGAATTATTTAGACAACAATTGATGAAATTGCTGCTCAACTCAATGATTATAGCGAGAAATCGGCCGCATTACGTGAACAAAATATTCAGTTATCTGAACAACTACCCAATGTTGTGAAAAACTACGAATTACGTCAAAAGGTAGCATGGATACTTTTCCGTGCATTTCTTATTCATTGATGAATTTAGGAACTGGAAACTGCGCTGAAGAAACGAGAGTTAGAATTACGTTTAACCGAAGCAACGTTAGAACAAAGTAATACTTTATTGAACGAACGAAACGAATTAGTCAAACAAGAAAAACAAGTGGTAAGAGTTGAAATTTACGAAAAATCTGTTGTTTAAAGTCGCACTTTTCAGAGCGAAGCGGAACGATTATTGCTAAATAAGAAATGCGAAGAATTGGCCGAATCGGAAAAAACACTACGTGTTCAAGTTCAAGAATATTCCGATCGATATAAAGAATTTCAAGGTGCGATTCAATCAAGTAGCCAAAAAGTTAGCTCATGCCATGGCGAAATTGAGAAAATGGGAAAGAAAATCAAGAAGTTAGAAAAAGAACGAGGCGATTTTCAACGCCGATGGGAAATTTCTGAACAAAATCAGAAAAAAGCATCCGAAGATGTGAGATTTCGTTCCCATTCATTCACAGTTTGTTGCATTCTTCTCTTTAGTATCGACTTTTGGAAAAGGAAAAACGACAAATCGATACAAAACTTGAAAAATTTGATAAACTAAGTCGAGCTTTACAACAAGAACGAACTGAGCTACAAACAACAATTAAAAATCTATCCAAATCATCAAATGACGGTGATCAGTCGACTGTCGTTGCCGGTAAGCTGCTTCATTACACATCAAACCAAACTCGCGACAATATTTCTCATAGATTCATCAGAAAAGGTTTCCAATGGACATCATGAATCAAAAACTGATTCAGTGACACCAATAAGTACAGTTACAGATGAAAATACTCCGAATGCTGAGCCAGCCAATCTCTATGGTTCGTGACTTTTCCATATCAATCTCAAGTGTTGTTTAATGTATGTTTTAGATAGTGAATTAGGTCGTATTGCGAACACAGTTGATTAATATTCGAGATACGACTGATTGAATACATGCGTTTTTTCTTCTTTCTTCGAGTTGAGTGCTGTTTTCTTTTTTTATTATTTGTTAAACTTTTTCTGTTTGGCTTTTTTCATATGTATTCTTAACGTAGCTGTGACATTTTCTCACGTTCACCTTTCAATTGATCAAAATATAAAAAACAAGAAATAATGATGGAAGAAACTCTGATCCTGATGAATAAAATTGTTCTCAAAACGAGAAGTGTAGAAAAAATCATTGAATTGAGTCGGACAACGTCAATTCTAATCGATTATACAATTTCAGCAATATTTTCCTTCGCTTCATTTATAAAGTTACCACAGAATAAACGCTCATTTGAGGCTGTGATTTGAACGACACTTCTAAAGTCAACTGTCGTTCATTTTAACGATGAAACTATATTGTTATTATGATAATATTTCGTTCATATCGTAGTTTAAAAAACATTTGCTGATCTTCTAGCATTATATTTCATATCACCCACACCCTTTTTTCTTTATTCCAATCATATTTGAGAAAGAAACGCGAACTTATTTTTAAACTCTATGCTGCTGTTGAGAGATTTGAACAGACTCACCATATGCATATTCTAGTAGGTTTACAAGAGCTTCTAACTGACGATTTCTAACAGCTGTATACTGAAATCAGACTCGGAAGAACAAGTTCGGTTTGTGTTACTACCATCTTTAATAACAGATATCTAATGAACTTATCTGTACTTTATCGTCAATTATGAATTTGCACGTTAGATTGCAACTTATCGGCCGTTTTCTGTGTATTCAAGCTATTAGAAAAGAACAGTAATATGTTTATATCACGTCCTTCATCACTTCATGGTCCAATAATTTCTATAAATATCTCGAATATTTGGGGCATTTTCATTTGATACAAACATAGTCACCATGCAAATCTCAATCACACTGTTAGCATTAGTATTTTTTTCCTTCATTTTGGCAGATGCATATCGAATTCATCACAGTCGTAATTATGATCGAGATACTTTGGTTCAACAGCTTCGTCGTCTTATTGAGCAGGAAAGCGAAGATGATCTAATGGTGAAACGAAAAACTCAAGCTGGTCTTGATCACCCTGAAATATTAAAAGAATGTCAAAATGAATGCAAATATTTACGAGTAGATGCAAGTGTAACTGATGAAGAATTGCGAAAACCATACAAAAAGTGTCGTGATGAATGTGTCGACGAGAAACTCGCAGAACAAGATTGAACTGCATTACATTAATAAAAACTTTTCATTTTTTTCATATTCAATTCTCATATTTATCAATAAAAACTTTATCTTATAGCAATTCTAAAACGAAACGAAATGTTTGCGTGTAGATGTCGCTAACTGCTCAATCGGATTGTGCGAATATTATTGGTTAATTAGAATAAAGACCGCTAACGATCATCAATGCATTGCTCTGCTATTGTTCTCTCATAGTTTTTATATTTTTTCCAAGAAAATGCCGCATGGAAAGAAGAAATCGAATTTCCGAACTCCAAAAGTGACGTTGTAAGTTCGACTTTTTTCACCAACCTATTCTCACTTCGCATATTTTCAGTGCTATACCTTCTCCTATGAACCATGAAGATAGTTGTGTTCTTGATCAATCGACAATTTGTGCCGAATGGTACCGATTATGGTCATCATTTGGTTTTACTGAACATCAATGGTCATCTCGAGCATTGAAAGTCGAAGAATATACTCGAGTAAGACTTGGAAGTCATCTCTTCGAGTGTTTTCAATGGTATTTTCCTTTAGAAATTACTCGAAAGTAAACTCTTGACATATAAAGAACAACTAAACAAACGAAAAAAATTGCTTAAACAGTCTGTTGAAGATTATGAGGAATTAATATCTCGAACAGGTCTTCCATCTGCTGTTGATGTAAGTATTCCTACGAGAATTGAAAGTTTATTTTTGATTCAATTTTGTTTTTTTAGTCATTGACATTCGATGAATTAAAACTACGAGAGCAAGAAGCGTATATTGAAAAGAAAATGCAAGATTTATTAGTTCAAGAAGGTCAACTAATTCATCAACGAAGTGAACTAGAAACTCAACAGAAACAATTGTGTTCATTGCTCAACAGTTCACCGATTGAGTTCGATGAAAGTCTGTTTTTTCTCCCTCATTTCTTTCCACGACATAGAAAAGGTCATATTTGTTGTTCAGACGTGCCGATGTCACTTGTTGAAATCAATCATAAAATCGAAGACCATCTGAAAATGCTTGCTGATCTGAAGTCTCTTCGTCTTACTCAAGTTTCTTCGTATTATCAAAAGTTAAAACAATATTCCGAACAATTGGAATGGACACCAGCACCTTCTTCATCGGTTGAATACCTTCTTCTTGAAAAATATGATCATTGCTTGACAGCCGATTGCCTCAATCAAATCGAAACTACAATTCATGATGTGAGAATTTCATTGGTTCTTTTTCTTTTCTGTATTCCAAACTTTGATTTAGTTGGAAAACAAAATCGAAGAGCAAAAAGTCCGTTTTACTATTTTACATAATCAACTGGGACATCTCTATGAACGTTTGAAAAAGAATGCGGAAAAAGATTATTGCTTAGCGTATAAAACCGGCAGTGAAAATATCAATGCTTTCACAATTAAACAAGTAAATTCCATTAGATTTGATTATGAGTTTTTTTTCTCATGAAATCTATTCTTTAGCTTGAACATGAAATTGCTTGTTGTCGTGAAGAACGAATGCGAAATGGCAAAGAATATCGGCAATCAATTCGTGAACAAATTGTTGATTTATTAGATAAATCACATTTAGGTGATAATGAACGATCCGTTCTTAAGAATTTAGATTTGGGTAAGTTATTCTTTTAAGCCTTGTGTTCATCATCTTTTCATTCGAGTAGAAACGTTATCGGCGGATTTACTCGATGCATATGATGCTGAGTATGAGCGTGTTGCTCAGCTGTTTGAAAAACGTCGACCGGTTATTGAAGCTTATGAAAAATGGCTGACATTTTGGAATGATTTCGTTGCATTTACTGTAAGTGATCTTTCGTTTACGTGAATTGTTGTTGGTAATCGACCGTTTTTCTCAATAATGAAGAAAGCATCAACAGATCCGGGCCGTTTTCGTATTCGTGGATACAATGCTGAAGCTGAAGGACGAAAACGTAAAAAATTCCTTCGAGAATTACCACAAATTGAACAAGAGTTTCTAAATACTCTGTCGGAATATGACGACACAACATTTTGTATCGACAATATACCAATTCGACAGAAATTTGATGAAGCGCACCATCAAGTGCCATCATCAGCCTTACCAACATCAGCTAAAACAGTGGCTGTAGCTCAACTTTCAGCTATGACACCTGTTCGATCTCGCACACCAGTTGCTACAGTAGGTGAACCACCCTTTCTCAGCTAATTTTCACTCGATTCAACCTCTTTTAGCCTCGCAGTGTAGCCAATAAAGCATTAAATGTTCCAAATACAACAAATCGTCCAGCCAAAACACCTTCATCAACAGCTGCTGGACGTAAACTATTAACAAAAGTTGCAAGTAAAACTGAATGTCAACCAAAACGTGCCAAACCACGTGCTCCACCAGTAGTCCACGCATCACCTCCACATCCAGTCGCACCATTACCTGTTCATCCACCAGCATGTACAGATGATCAAGCTCTAGATTTTTCACTCTTACATACAATGAAAAATATCCACGGTCAAATCAAAGTACGATCGAGATCGACAAGAGAATCAAATGTCAATGAATACTTTCTTTTCAGGTTATGACATCAACTCCTAATTCATCGTTTGATTTAATCGAAAATCGAATTGGTGGAAATGTAAAAACAGCTCATAATACAATTGGAAAACGAAAGTCCAAACGAATACCTGTTCCATTGATCGTAAGTCTTTAGTTTCTCTCTGCATATCTTCTTATGCTAAACTCTAGATGGTCCAACGAGCAACTGAAGAGTTAGCGGTTCTCATGCCACACGATTCTTAATCTCCTGTATATTGAAACTTTATTTTACTTAATGTCTGTTTGTGTGTATTTATTTCGAAATGATGTTAGATATATTATTTTATCTATCAAATAAAAAATAATCCAGTTTCTCAATAGGAGAAGACAAGAAATCTTATTTTATTGTTAAAATACAAATACCATCACCGATTTCAAAAGAAAATATTCGCGAGGAAACAGGAACTGTCTTGACTGGTACTTCGGATTGGACATCATCGATAAAACTTTTCAACATTCCAATTGTAGTCGAAGAATTGAGATATTGACCACCATAAAAACGACGGTAACTCGTTTCAAGATCTTCAATGATGTATAAACCGCCAGGACGAACAAGCGGAGATAGTGTTATCAACGATGTTCTCTGTTGGTTCATTGTATGTCCACCATCATCAATAATAATATCGAATTTGTTCATTTTCGACTTGAAAGTTTCAAGAAACATGACATTTCCTTGATCTCCATAATGAAGAGTAACATTAATCTAAACGATCAACATTAGATATGGACATAGAACGAAGATCGTTTACCTGTTTACCTATTGTAGAAAACCATTTTTCACCGCATTTCATATCGATCTCTAGAATATGTATCTCCGCTTGACCTCCTAGATATTCTCGCCAGGTACGAGCAGACGCACCGATCGCTTGAATCATGTCACAACCCAGACCGATTTCCAGTAAACGTACTGATGTATCTCGATACTGCGAAAGGTACTTTTCATAGAATCTTTCATAATGATGAAGATAAACTTTATCCGTTTTGAATTTCATTCCAATATGAAAAAAACTTGTTCGATTTATTCTTCCGTTCGACTCGATCATTTTCATTGTTTGACAATTGCGATAAAAGACGAAGAAAATAATCATCTGGACAGTACAGAATATGAACAGTAACTGATATTTATGAGAAATCATAATTTCCAGCAGAAGAAATCAAACATTTCATAATATCATTCTAAAACACGTGGACAGTCTCTAATGTAAAACAGGATTGTTTATTCAAAGTCGTCAACTTTCAGTGCGTACATAAAGTTCCAGAATGTGTTTACTCCCATACGTCTTCACTTCTTTCGTCATTCTGTTGTCACATTTTATTCTCATAAAAACTATACCGATAGTTTCCTTTCTTTACTCAAGTTCATCGTTGATTCAATATTAAAGAAAAACTTTCTTACTTCTCTACTGGAAATCTTTCTGATTCTACGCAGAAGATTTTCGCTTACGGAATCTACTTCACTTTTTCATTATAGATCTTCGTCATCATCGCTAACGACAACAATCACTTTGAAAAAGAAACACAAGAAAAAAGAAACTCTGCTTTTCTTTCTTTGAGAAGAAAAAAAACTCAACCGGTGAATAAAAACATTCACACGTGTAAAACTCTACTCTCAAAAACAATCCCAATGGGTTGCACAAATACGAAAGTTCATGGTGTAGCATCAGACTGGCATACTCTCGATCAATTACCCGTGGAAATTCTCTATAGGATCTTAGATGAATTGGATATTTCCACGATATTTCAATCTGTGTATCACGTGTGTAAACGAATTGACGAGATTTTATATTTGTACGATGATTATCATTTAAATTTGAAACTGGTTACGTTAAAACATCTACATTTGATTTCATTGCGAATTCGTCCACATCAAATTACCAAATTAACTCTTATCGATGACGAGACAAATCCCGGATTACTCGAACTATTCCTTTCGAAATACTCAATGAATTCTCTAACGCGCCTTCGATCATTAACACTTATGCAAATCAATAGCGAAGAAACCATCAATCAAATCTTAATCCCAGTCGCTGATGAAACTTCGTTACTGCGTTTCTCTTCTATAACCATAATTAACGCTGATGAAACATACAGTGGTGTTACTATCGAATTAATCATGGCGGTCTTAACTAAAACTTCACTTCGAAAAGCTTATCTCGATATATCGTATAGTCGGACGACATCAAGTCCATTACCTTGGTTAACGCAGAGTTCTCTAAGACATTTAACATTAATAGGCACTTGTGCAGTCAGTTTCCTTCGGAATGTGTTTATTCATACACCGCAATTGGAAACACTGATAACTGATGATTGTGAATTTTATTCCGAAAAAGCGTTAGATGGCAGTCCAGATGAAAACAATGATGATGACGATGATGATGAAGATACGGATGATTCCGAGGAAGTTGAAATCGAATTGAATGCGAATGTAAATAATGAAGGAAATGCGATGATAAAAAAAGAAAAATTCGCTACGATTCAATCGACTGATTGTTTGAAATTTTTATCGCTGACATCTTTATCATTTACTATGTCGAAACTCCAATGGCTATTAGATGATATTCCAACATTAAAACAATTTCATCTCATCACAACGCCGGGTTACGATGACGAATCGATTTTAGATGGTTCGCGTTGGGAAAAGTTCGTTTCGAACCTTGAGAAGTTTCAATTTGTTTTCTCTGTGAGTATATCCGATTCTCCGTCATGGAATATCGACACATGTTTATCCACATTCGGAAGTTCATTCTGGACCGACAAACAATGGTTCATTTCAATTGAGAAATATGATGATATGGTTTTACTTTATTCATTGCCCTATCTCGATAAAAACTATGTATTCCTCAATGCACCACCTTCGTTCGAATATCGTTCAACTGTGAAAATAAACTCAATGCTACAAATTGAAGCGATGAAAAACGTTCGAAATTTGTACATCGACACATCAGAACCAGTTCGGAATTCGATAGAGGTGAGCTATGGACAAGTCGTTTTCAACTATTCAAGATTTCGTTGACTTTTAGAATCTCCGCCATCCTCGGTTTTGTCATGTCACAAATATGATTTTACACGGTAAATGGACAAAATCAGACTCGTTCTTTACTGGTATTCAAACTGTTGTTGATCTCTCAGTTGTGAAAGAATTGAATAGAGTTGAACGTATTCCAACAGCTGACGCAATTATCTTGTTGAACCTTCTTTCAAATCTGCAATGTTTACGAACTAATACCACTTTTCTGGACGCTTTGAATGCTGCAAAGTTCTCTTATTCGAAATGTCTTCAATATTTTATCATTGATTCCGAACACAACGAAGATGACCGTCCGGTGAATACCGAACCATTTTGTACCATGTTCCCTCGTATTCAACATTTGAATATTCCAGTTGACAGTGTGGAAAGTTGCAAATACGTTCTTGAACAGTTGAAAGATGATCTCATCAGTGTTGTTTTCCAAATACCTAATCGTGATGGTCTCGATGATTCTGACGATAGTGATGACGATGATGATACGATCGGTGGCGAAGACAATTCAACGGTAGTCGCATTTGCAGAATGGATTAATGACTTGCCAAAAGAATATCATTCTTTTAAGAGACAACGATACGTACATATCTCACTGAAATAAATCAGTTTTTTCCTTGTTTATTGTTATTCTTTCATGACAGTTATCGGCGTTTGCTTTTTTTTTGCATAGTTAAAATCCATTCGCCTCTTATGTATGCAAGAGAAAAGAAATGCTCATAGTTCTACTAATCCGAACGATTGTGCTCGTTAATTTCAAGGCAAAATGTAATCGAAGAGATTTCTAGTCATAAACTTTCACTTTCACATTATCCGATCGTATTACACTTGTTAATATCGATGAAACTCGACGATGGAAGTCATTTGTTAATTGAAAACACATCTGGTCTTCTTTTTTATCGTCATAATCTGTAAAAAAATCGAAAACTGATTTGCAGTTGTTGGCGAATTAATATTCCTGATAGATTTTTTTCATTTTTTAAATGGCTCATTCAGATGTGATTGTTATTCAATGAACGATAATAAAGAACAGACTTTATTCATATCTCTACACTCGACTAATTCTTTCTCTTCACTTCATCATAACAATAGGCCTATCATTGTCGACCTAATCTGTTCAATGTGAGGCAATATTAGCTCTTTTTCTCTCTTAGCACATGAAGTGTCTGACAATGTATTTGGTGTCTGTTAATCTTACATATGCGGACATGAACATGCGATAAGAACGGAGATGTTTGATCTATGCGATCGTCATTGGACATCAGCCGACTTGTTCGCCATACATATCAAGTCCGAACGATGATGAAGAAGAAAAAGAAGATAAGCAATAGCAGATGAATGTTTGAAAGAAAAACGGACAAGCAAATTAATTACTATTATGTGTGCGTGTTTGTGTGTGAAGAGAGCAAAAGAAGATCAAGAAGATGTGATGATAGTTGAACAAGAAGTTTCCAATACCTCAGAGGCATAGACATGTACAAAGTACCATTAGACGAATTCTCATCGAACTCATCAACGCTTTTGACAAATAAGATTAGAATAATAGTAGTTAATTGTAAACAGGTACATAGGATTATTCAATTTGATTGCCTTGTGTTTGCTGAGACACTGTACAAATCAATTATCAATTCCTAACATAAACAATATCGAAATCAGTGCATTCCTATGTGATTTGTATAGATTTTGAAAAAGAAATTTCGTCGCCGAAATGTCCCGGAAGAATACAGTTTTCTATTTGTTCTCTATCAATTCATTTGATCTGACTTCCTCTTCTTTTTTTGTTCATGTCCTTGAAATCCCATGTCGATAATGATAGTCGTGATGATGCCAGCAACTTGTCATTCACGATCAATATCTAAAAAATATCTGTCTTGTCAGGCTACGGTCACTGCATCGCTTATCGATCTTTTTGTTCATTCTCATTTGTCCATCTGCCCCCAACATGCATTCCTTCTCTTTCTTCAAAGAGAATTTTTTCTGTATAAACGCTTTTAAACTTAAAAAAAGCGATGCGAACTGACCGGCACTATAACGCACAAATTATTCCCTTTGACCGCGCAGATGTATTGATGATGATGATGATGATAGGCTTGTACCGTAAACAAACATACATATTGCCATACATTACCGTCCTTGCTTATACTCTTGTTCACAGTATGCGGTCGATTGCAAATCGTTTTTTCTTCTTCTCTTCAATCAATTAATCGATGTCGATCAACGGCATACATCAAAAACACACAGTGTGTCAATTCGGTAATGTAAACACATCGTCACACTTGCTGCTACTGTTCAGACGATGATTGGGCAATTAATAAATTGATCAAATTTTTTTCTCTTTGCCTAAGAAGGAATCTTGTCAAAGCTCAAGGTAAATATTTGTTGCATCAGTCGTTCTCATCAGTATGAAATGTAACACGCTTTTGCTGGAATGAATTTATGATGAGTGTGAGAAGGAATACCCTTGACGTATCACCTCACTGATCATCATCGTCATCGTGATGTAAGCATCAGGGATGGAATGCTGATGAGTAGAGCAGCCTGTGCTTTACACTAGTATTACTATGGATAATTGACTTAGCATGATAGTATGTATATTGTATACGTGAACGATGAGTTATGGATCGATTGTTTCATAACCCAATTTTTTCAATGTTCGTCGTGTATGTGTGGCAATAAAAGATGACAAACGGAGGTCGGCGATATAAGGTAAGAGATTTGTGTAATGTAATTTGTTGAATGGTCTCTTCGATGAGGAACGCTGGTGTTCAATGACATTCAATCGATTCCTAATCACATTGACTTTGTGTACTTTTAATATTTATGTCCGGAAAATTTATGTTAATGTTTCTTTCTCTCTCTCTCTTTATCCTTGCCTTTCTTTTATGATGTTGAATGTCGATTGAAACTAAATACACCTTGCAAATGTCTTTTATTCCTTTCTCGTGTCGAAATTTTCTTTCTCTCTGTCTTTCTTTCTCGTTTTTTTTTCATACTTATGACATCACATCATTATAAATGAACACTCATTTTCCTTCTTTATTCGGTACGATATATCCCAGAAAGAAGTAAAGTGAGAAGGACACGCGACCATGTAGCAATATTCTATTTCACACATTACCTTTTGTCTCTGGACTAGTAGACTGAAATTTGAGTATATAATTGTGTCCATTCTTAACAATGATTAGGTTCTTACTGAAATCAAGTGAATGAGAAACATCAAGTGAGGGAGAAAAACGAACTACTTGTGTCAAGTTATATCTATACACACATAAGTAAGACATTTTCTATGTAATACAAATCACTTGTGTCGCTGTAAATGAGGAAATTGTTTATTCTTGAAATTCCCTTTCTTCGGAATCAATCTTATGAGTTGAAATTCTTTACTTGCATAATCGATGCATTACTTATATATACAGAGAGAGACATAATGGAGACAGGTGATTTTTCTTTCGTCATTGTTGAAGTCTAATTTCAAACGACGTTCTAAAATAATTCTGATTGTTTCCCAATAGTCTTTGATAATATCGATAGAATAATGAATAGGATTTTTTGAAAGGAGGACAATCGTGATTGTGCAATTTAGCTGATTAATATTTTATCTGGTCTTGTCATGCCTAATACTAGACGAACGGCTAGAGAGAGAGAGAGAGAGAGAGAAGGAGAGGGCGCGACTACCCGTGTCACTTATGATTATAGGAATAAGTCTCGTTCTTATTCTTCTATCTTTGACATCAATTAGCCTAGTGAGCACGTTCATGAGCAAGAATCTGACCAACTAATGAGTAACGACAGCAACAAATGTACGAGACAGATGGAAAAACGTGATGATGCAAAGTCACTGCGTCGAAGTTGAAAAAAAACTGAATGAAAGGACAAAAGATGAATAGAACGTGTCGTTTAGAGAGAAAGAATTTCTTCTTCATCATTATTCAATGAACAATGGAATAGATTCTTTTTTCAAACACATACGTATGCATACGGTGATCCTTGAATGAAGACGAGCTGCATTTGTTCTCACTACGTTCCACTTCATACTTGACAATCATTGTCCTTCTCAAGAGTATACTTTCTTTTCTCTCTCGATCTCCTTTTTTCCTCATCTTGAAAAAATATTGATGTCAACCTTTATTCTTTGTTTAATAGAAAATCATCTTCATCAGATGAAAACTTAGAAAAGAAAAGGTGCTTTGTTTATCTTATACAATCTATAACAAAAAAAAAGTTCATTACAGTTGGATAAACATCAGGATGTATTTGATAGTTTTCAATTAGTTTTCTTTTTCGCTTCAGATTTTCTCTCGTCATTCGACTGATCGGACACTTCTTTTATCCTTTCTGGTTGTTTTTCATGATTGATCCTTCTCTTCGCTTTCTCTCGCTTTTCTTTCTCTTAACTCTACTTAAAGACTTCCTTCCTGCTTCAGCGTATGTATGCACCACTTTTTCTCCCCCTTCTTCGTCGACGGCTGTTTCTACTGCCGTTGTCCGTTCATCAAATAATCATAAAAAAAAAGGAGAAAGGACTGCCAGTACTGGTGGCTCTCATTTTCTCTTTTACAGAAAATGATGTAACCGAATCTTCCATACAACGACACGCGTGCGTATAGAATGGACGATCCTTGTCAGTATTCGAGATATGCATGTGTATATGCCGAAGATTCCTATCACCAATCTGTTACTTTATAATTAAAAATCAACAAGTAAGTCCCCAAAGTCTAAATAACCGAGTCAAATTTAAAGAGGGAGGGAAAAAAACGAATCGACCAAACAAGTTACAGTCATGCAAAAACATCTTGAGCAAGACGACTTATATCTTCACACTAATGGATTGAATAAATAACAAGTGTTTAGTGTTCATGTAAGGCTTGAGTGAATAAGTGAATGAATGACATAAGGACTCTTTCTTTTTTTTCTTCTTCTTCTTCTTCTCGTCTGATACTTGTACACTGTCTATACATATGACTGTCAGTATGTATATGAACACATAAAATGGCAGCTGTTACTCATTTTAGATTCGGTCAAGTACATAGTCGAATCCATACAGGTATTAGTGCTAATAAATATACGCGTCGAGATATTGACACGCGACCGGAAGAAAAAAGTAGGGATATTGCTTTTATTAATAATTGAAGTGGTGAGAAGAATATTCTTTGTAAGTATTTGACTAGGAGTCGTTCTTGTCGGTAATTATTTCATGAACGTGCTCACTAGGCTAATTGATGTCAAAGATAGAAGAATAAGAACGAGACTTATTCCTATAATCCTAAGTGACACGGGTAGTCGCGCCCTCTCCTTCTCTCTCTCTCTCTCTCTCTCTAGCCGTTCGTCTAGTATTAGGCATGACAAGACCAGATAAAATATTAATCAGCNTAGACATGTATAAAGTACCATTAGACGAATTCTCATCGAACTCATCAACGCTTTTGACAAATAAGATTAGAATAATAGTAGTTAATTGTAAACAGGTACATAGGATTATTCAATTTGATTGCCTTGTGTTTGCTAAGAGACTGTACAAATCAATTATCAATTCAAAACATAAACAATATCGAAATCAGTGCATTCCTATGTGATTTGTATAGATTTTGAAAAAGAAATTTCGTC